GGAAACAGTGACGGAACTTGGCTGCCGAGATCGTCATCTCGCGCTGGTTAAAAGAGTTTCCGACATCAAGCATAAACTCCGAGAAGAGCTGCGCAGCCTGATCGGTGTTATGGTGCCGGCAAAAGAACGTAACACCATCCGCGTACGATACCTTTTTCGCAGATGCCCGAGAGAGTGGGAGATCTCGCATGTAGACGTTGAAGAGTTTTACGGATGTCACAAATATCGGCGGCCCATTGACGGTGATCGGAAGTGAGCTTTTCGCAGATGTCAACCCAGTGCTTGTTCCATTGTTGCAAGCCATAAAGAATCAGGAGGCCCATACGTTCGATGTCCGACTTGACTGTGTTGAGCCATGTCGATATCTCCAATTTGCTCTTCGGGAGGGATTCACGACCAATCTTCAGAGGTCCATCAATGGCTTGCGTAGGACATGGCCAAAACCTTGTGATCGGCGGTGCTGGATGTAGTTTGGTAGTTTGAAAAACCTGCGATATAGCTTGACATTGGAAGTTCGATCCTGCCAGGAGACTCTTAGGAGTCGCCGAAGACATCAACGGTTGAAGACTTCGAGCGATGTTTAGCAGGCATATAGTAACACCGGCTGGATGGATGCTCTGCATATTAACAGCTTAGTGATAAGCTGATTTCCGAGCGAAACCACAGTGGTCTGGGTAGTAGCCTAAATACATTTTGAGCCAGGCGGTAGAGATGCAGTCAGTCATAGAACTAGCAATGCTCGGTTGGCTTTCTTTCGCTCGATTGCCCCGAAACCGCCCGAATCTATGCGACCGTAACCCTGCGAGGCTGCCTTCAAAACAATCCTTCCTTACCGATGTGCGGAATGTCCCCCATGCTCTGTGTTATAATGTCCCCATCCAATTACGCCTTATTTGAGTCCCGAGGAAAAACACAATAGCAAGGGCGCAAGAACAGCAGTCTATTAGTGTACCTAGTACAGGCAAGCAAAAGCTTCTACAGGCATATACAATCCGACCAATCAGATTGTGTCCTCAAGTGAGGAGCTACTGGACTGGCTTTCTGGTTCCTCCCACCGGCTTGAGAGGGTGCTACTCTTGGCGACTGCTTGCACTTTATCACGTGCACTGTCTGTGAGCAGACCGGTTCTATGGCATAGAAGCGAGTCGTCAGGGCAGCCTGCCAGCGAGTCGGTTAGGCTGGCTCCTAATGCTGAAGGTATGCACCACCGACAGGCGTTCGATTAGAGGTATGCGTCCTAGATTTTCCAAATTAATGCCGGTGAAGGCATGCCGGTATGAA